TCAAGAAATACTGTAGATGAGAGGAGCTTGAGGGATGCATAAGAATTTTAGAAGAAGAATAATTAAATGCTAGGTCTACAATATCATGGCATACTATCTCTTGAGGTTGAATGCCTAACGACTTTTAGTTATCCTTATAAAGATAGTCAATTAGACCACATGTTTTTAAACTGAAAGTTATTTCAGGGCTCAAAGACAATAAGGACTTACGTGATTTTTGAGAAAATGAAGTCCAAACTTGAAAAATACCGCATAAATGGCAATTTTTCTGTGTTCATTCTTGGAAAAGGATTCCAACAAGGTAAATTACTCGACTGTTCAGAGTAAAACTTGTAGCTTTTGTTCTACTCAGATAACTAGATCCTTATGTCATGGACCTGGGGTTACAGTGGATGCCAGTCTGAATGTGATCCAACAGCATGCTCTCAGTGCACATAAGGCAAAAAATGCACTTGTGCTACGTTAGAGAAGTGTGTCAAGTGTGAGTTTTTATCCCACACCCACTATGTTCATCACTAGTGGGGCTGCATCTGAAGTACTGGATTCAGGTTTGGGCTTTCCACTTCAAGAAGGATGAGGAGAAACTGGGGAGCATCCAGAGAAAAGCTGTTAAGGTATATACTGGCCTACAGGATATGTCTGAATAGGAAGTTTGAGACAGCAGAGCTTGTTTAACCTTTTGAAAAGAAGTTTAAGGAGTAATTTAATACCTCCCTACAACTACCTGGAAGGGTCTTAAAAAGGTGTTAGAGCTATCCTCTTCTTGCAAGGGCCAGGCCCTATGAAGGGAAAATGGCCATAAATAGTGGTTTGGGGGCTCCAGATCAGACACTGATGGTGGGGTGAGGAAAGTTTCCAAATATTTTGCTGGAGCCCATACAGATGTTTGAATATCCATTATTGGGGGTTTTCAGACTTGGCTAAACAAAGCTACGGACAAGTTATTCTAGCATTGACAATAGTCCACTTTGAGATGAGACTCAGACTGGGGACCTTCAGAGGTCTGTTCCAGCCCATATGAAATGTATCATTTTATGAATAGCTGTGAACCCTCTTGTGCTCAAGGCAGTGAGACAGCGTTTAATATTACAAGCACTTCCAGAAGCAGTGAATCAGTAATCAGTAAACTGGCAGCAGTGAATTATGTCAGCCTGACATGCTGTAGATCCCTGCATGCCAAGAAACAGTGTAAGCATAGCATCATAGCTGGAAACTCAGCTGCAGTCCACTTACTGTATCTCTGAAAAAATCACACCTCTTGAGCTGGGACATTTTATTGCATTTAAAATCTCTGTACATTTGTCATGAAAGCTTTCGTCTCATTAACGCAATATTTTTGGAATAGGATGAAATAAAATTGTTTTAACTCACATTTCAATGTTAAAATTTTTACATGAGCTGTCAAATTATCCATGCAATGCTGTACAAATAAACCATATGGCAGAGATGGTCACAAAGATATTTTTCCTTTCTTCCAGAGCATATCTTAAGGTGATCTCCCTGCCTTTAAATTCCTGCAAAAAGTCCAGGACTGAAATGTTTATGTGAATTGGAAATCAGAAACATTTCTGATCAGATCACCTTCAATATTTCCTTTTGATCTTGAAACAGTTTTAGAAAAGTTCATCCTACTTTCAACATTTCTTACTACAAAATGATGCACTTTGAAACTTCATGACTTTGAGACAACTTGTGGCTCACTGCAAGAGATGGTTGCTGGGCTGTGTTAAAATAGTCTTCACTTGTGAAAATAAGAAAGACCTGCCCTGAGTACTGAAGCATCAAACTGACCTCTAGTTAAATTCACAACTGAGTGACTCTGTCCTGAACCTGCAGACTCAATTGACCCACAAATGCAACTGTACCCTCTGCTTGCCTGGAAAGCATTTTTAAATTCCTGAATATTTGCTGTGGACAAAACAAGAGCTACGGAAGAGGTAAAGGCTAAAAATGTAGAGTGGAAACAGAGTATTCAATGAAATCTTTTCTCTAGTGTTCATAGGGGGCATAAGGCAAGCTTTTTATTATTATTATTTAATAGTACACGCATTCAGGAAATTAGATACTGCTGAATGACTGAGTATGATGCCATATTAAGGACAAAACCAGCTGAGTCTTTCAGAATTATCTGGCATACTTAATGACCTGATTTAATAATAAATTTTATAAAAGAGACTGCCACTGTCCTAATCTATTTGAAAGGAATACCACTTTCTGTGTCTTTAATAGGTGAGCACAAGCTTGAAGTTTCCCTTTGTGAATGGTGTGTAATCCCAAACATCCAGGAGAGCTATCACTGCGCTGGAGAAAGAGACAATTGAAGCAAAGGAAAGCAGATAAGAAGAAATGACAAGCCTCACATGTAAAAGTCAGGCAGGCTTAAGAATAAGAATAAAATCTGCCTTCAGCACTTTTGTCCAGGGACAGGCTGTGAAATAAGAAGTTACCAACTGTTTATTAGTTCCTAAATCTGTTCTGTTTTCTAGCCCTCTGCTCTTTTGTTTGGTGATTAACTAAAAATTGTACCTTTTCCTGACTCTCCAGCAAACAAAAGTCTGCTGCTGTCAGCGTTTTTCCCCACTCCACATGCTTACTACTGGAAAATGGTAAATAAGGACACACATGCATGGCTGCACATACTCCCGTTTGGATGAAGATCCTTTTGCAGCAGCGCCCCCGCCTGCACAGGGCCGAGGATCTCCATTGTTCTGCTCTGAATGAGGGTAAGGAAAGGCATCAGAAAGTGACCATCTGTTTGGCTGACCTAACAGGGCAGGTGGTCCTTCCCTCATCCATATGGTCACCTTTCTATTGACTAGAGGCTGGGCAGGACTCAGTCACCTTTTTTTAAAACAATGGAAAACAAAACGTGGCAGAAACGTTCAGGATGTCACTGGACCAAGGCGTACAAATCTCACCAGCAACCTTCCTTCCTAACAGTTCTCTCACATTTCTATTTTGAAGAAGTGTTGTGAGACCCAAGTGGTTTTGTGTTTATAAGAGAGAGAGATTTGGGAGGGAGGGGTTAAATGATAGAGAGAGACTGTCACAGAGAAAAGGGAAGAGAAAAGGAAGAGACATACTCCTGGGGGGGGTGTGTGTGTGTGTGTGTGTGGCTGCAGAGAGAAACCAGAGGATAGAAGTCTTTCATTTTTTGTAGGTGTTTGAAGAGGTCAGGCAAGCATTTGACTTGAACCACCAAAGTTTGGAGGTTCATCCATCAATCACTTTTCAACAGATAAACCTCTTGTCCAAACCTAAATTAAGTTAAATTTGTCTAAAGAGATTTATTTTTTAACGTAAACATTTCCCCAACACAATGTTGTGCTGTAAACTGCAAAAGCTCGCATTTTTCTTATGAATGCCCTCAAAATAATTATTATTTATGACACAGTTTTCTACAATTTGATTACATCATATATGCCATATATGCCATTTTCAAATGTGAACCTAGGATTAGATCATACTATCTCCATCTGCTAAGGAAACCCATACGTATGCACACACCGCTTAGGATGCACACACATTTGTGCACACCTACACACTGCCCTCTGAGAAAAAGCAATATATACTCTGATATCATAAAAACAATAAGCCTGTAGTGCATGTAGTTCATGCAGTGGTGTTGAAAAGTGTAAGTAGCACACCATTTTAATTTAAGCACAGGCTATACTCATCATACAGAAAGCTTTATCAAGCTTGACCAACATGCTAGTTCATGTTCACCCCATTGAGCCTGCTTGTAATTCATTATCATTTGATGTCTGAGAGTCTAAATGCGTTTTCTAGTCTCATTCCAGTTTCAAGTGCCTATATCACAAAAACTGTCACCATTCCTGGCCTCAAAATTGCATGTTTACAGAGAGTTATCAGCAAAAAGGCTGTGATCACTTTTGAAAAATGAGTTCTGTTTTCATCCCTAAGGTAGCTTATGCAGGTACAACACTGAGGTTTGTTTGTGAGATTAAAAAAATTCCTGTCTGGCTAATATCCAAAGGAAGATTTCTTCCCTATATATGGCCTAGGTTCAATTTCTAGAGCTGATCTTTTTTTTTTTTTGATAGAACTAAGTTTCTAAAAACTAAATGATTGTAAACAGAAGCAAAAAAAAAAAAATCCAAAATAACTAGAAAGAAATTAACTCCCCATCTAAATTAAGCATCTATACACTACAGAAATAATAATACTAATATTGAGGTTTATTTTTTCCAAGCATAAGTGCTTACTTAGGTGACTATTTACTTTTCATTTTATGTAGGAAAGTAGTACCTGATTATAGAAGGAAAAAACCAACAACTTTGAGAGAAAAACTGGGGCTTCAGTCTGATTATAATGTGGAATGTATCATCATGATTGTAAAAGTTGAGGTGAAAGGACCATCTAACCTCATATTCTGCCTCTGACTGTGGCTAATGACAGCTGCCTAAGAAAAATCAATAAACATAGTGCAAACATATAGTAACATTTCTACGGGATACTATCTCTGCCTCTAAATATCAATGGCTCTGGGACTGCTTGAGTTGTCCAGTTATTTCTCCCACAACCATGCAGGATTTTGTATATGTCTATACACCTCAGTCATCTCTCTTCCAACCTGAAAAGTCTTTATCGTAAAAAGTTCTTCCTTATTTTTTGTCACCCTTTTCTCTACCTTTACTAATTCCACTGTATTGTTTACAAAACAAAGGGACCAGAACTGTATATAGTTTTAAGGAGATGGGGGTACCAAAGACCTAAGTTGAACCTGAAGAGCCTTGACAAATATTATTTGAAACTTATCAGAAACAAATTCAGCTATCTGTGCTGTACCCTTTCCCACAGTACTCTAAAATCACATTTTATTTTCTTTGTTCATCATTATTTGCTTTTATTAGCTCATGCTAACCATTTTAGGCAGTAGAACTACTCCCCAAAATAGACAGACCTTATTGCCTATTTATACTCATAGTGTCTTTGATATAACTACAATTATAAAACAATACAAGCAAAATGTTACTCACTTGTATTTATCTTCTGAAGTGAAATGTGCTTTTCCAGCTGTCTACGAAGTTTCACCTCTGCTCCATATTTACCAGTAGTGCCATTGTCAGCCAAAATAAAATGAGAATGCATACTGTTGAGCACTGTCAACTTACTCATGGGATTCGACATCGTCTGGTATGGTCGGACCACCTGCATTTTAGAGACAGAGGAAAAAAAAAAGTACTAAACAGAAAAGACCCTCTGAACTAAATCAATTATAAGATACCAGCTGACAAGATGATCCAAAAGAAAAAAAACCAAACACAAAATTGTGTGAAATATTGCAGTTGAGCACTGCTGTCTTCTATGTCTAAAGTAGAAAATAACCTTAGCACTTAAACCAGTGTGGCCACCTCTTGTAAACACTGACCTTTTAGACACAGACACTGCTTAAAGGGTTTTCCATGGTAATCTCTTTCAATAGCATCAATGGCCACTGTTTTAATGTTAAGTCCAGCTAATGGTCAGTCCTCCAAAGGTCTGTGTGACTACACACACACACTGTATACCCTGTCTCCTGCTGTCTTTCAATAACGTTGCCATAAATCCTCACCTCATCTGATCGAAATCTTTGATTCTTTCTTCATGGACCCCACCCAGCACTGTGCCCCCTGTTCTAGCTCATTCAGAGCCACCAGCACAGGAGGTCCTCTGCAGACACACCAATACAGGTGAGTTCCACTCTTGGAGAGGTGTACACACGATATTACACCACATTTTCAATTTCCTTGGAAAAAACTATTGGCCCATTCTTAGAATAGTACAAAGGCAGTTGCTTGCATTCAACAACAGCTTTAGAAAGTCTCCATTCAGTGGGGAGTTTGCTACACTTCTTTTGATTTGTTTTCATCAAGAGAAACTCTTCTGCAGACAGAGAAAATTGTTGCAGAGTTATCCCACTCATAGCCTCCAGACAGACCAAATAATAGCACTGGGTCACATGTGGCTGTCAGCTACTTTGGTGGGTCTCCAGTGACATAAGTAAGACTACACTGATGTGGCAAAAGAATTGGTGTTGTGTTGAGGGATCCTGGCTCATCATTCAAAAACATTTTGCTAGAAATACTGTTCCCTGCATTGGTTACGTATGTCTTGTCTTTTTAGAAAGACAAAACTAAAAATCTGTAAAATGAAGTCCTAGCTGAAGAAATGCTGAAGTGACTTGTTACAAAACTTGGCTGGGCTATGCTTCATCTGCAAGGAATTTTCTTCACAGCTCTGGCATTGTTCATTTTGCAAATCTAACAAAATTTTGTCCTTTTTAATGCACAAAAGTGGACACATGTTTTGACAAAAATGCTTGCAGACAGAAATATATTAACCTACTAATTTCTTCCTAATCTTCTCTCCCTTTTTGTTATTCTAAAGAGCTATCTAATTGAGACATAATTCTTTATAAATAATATGTGTTAGTAATTCTTTGGCCAGAGATATCTTTCTCTATTATTTTCCTTTATGAATGTTTGCAGCGCTTTGGTCAACTCTTGGATGTCAAGGGGAAACTCACAGACTTCTTTTGCTGTTATAAGCTGTCACACAGAGGGTACTCTGTAAGCTGTTCATCCCGCAAAAGGGAGGAAATAGGTCTGAGAAGCCCAAGAGGGCAGCTGGCCAACAGCAAAGCAGTGCACTCCACTGTGAGAACAGGAGATAGCTTTGGTTCAAGTGTCTTTTATACTGTTTCTTTCGGTACCGCATTCATAAAACGTTTATTCTACAGGCACATATAGCTTAACAGATATCAATATGCTGCTGGAACACATTCATTAACCAGCTTCTACAGACACAGAAACCATGCATCCCATGCCACAGTCAGAAAGAAAAAGAAGGTTCTTTCTCACACACCTAAGAATCAAACAAAACCAAACTAAAACAGTTACAGATTTTTTAAACTGATACCTGCCCCATCTCTCAATATATAGAGGGCACAGGCCAGCAAGATCTGATAGAAGAGGAATGACTTGAGTTGCCCATTCATTGTATGATTACAAGCTGCTGTGCATGCAATTCTACTGACAACTTGTGGTTTGTCCCCGAGAGCCACAGCTCAAAACTTTCTAACAGTGACAGCTTGATCTGCAGTTCTAATGAGCTGCAGCACCAAAGGCTCCACACATTGACTTAGTAATGCTGCTGCAGGGCAGATTAAAAGGCTATGCTTTGGTTCTGTGTCTGCTGTTTAGCTGCAAGGTGAATCTTATTATTAATAAATTTTATAGATGTGAAAATGAGAATACAATTATTTTCAATTGAACTGTTCACAGCATGCACAGTTCAACAGCTGAAATACTTTTTTTTGTAATAATAAATTTCACAAACCACACTGTCAGACTCTTTTCCTGATTAAAGGATAAGCAAAATCTTCAGGACAGCAAGAAAATCCTAGGCTTTGAGGCTATTGCCTTGAGGTGAATTGCTTTTCCACAACACTCAGCAGATTTTCAATTTCTCACTCTTGCAGTTCCCATTCCTTTGTTCTTTTTAATCCCTTACATTTTACAGGCAAGTTAAAAGGTTGGGAAAACTTTGGCTTTAATGTCTTCCCACCCTCTTTCTGCATTGAGAAGAGGGAATAATGTCCCCTGGCATCTTCCTCTGCAGAGTTGAAAGGAAGTGTTTATGCTTAAGACACCCCTGTAAATATAGGTTAATGAATGTGACAGCAGCCATGCTGTGAAGCAGTACTCACGCTGCGTGGGCTGAGGGCAGCATTCTGCCAATAGGTGAGGAGCTGGGCTAACCTCAGCAGTTGCCTTTGCACCCTGAGGTGGCAGCAAGCTTGAAGTAAAAGCACTGTTATACTCTGTTTACATTCCCTGTGGGAACATGACTTTCAACATAGGGACAGCACTTGAAAAATTGCTCAGGGTAACCCACCATGGACAATGAACATGCATGTGTCATGTGATCCAACGCCTGAATCTGAGCAGTCTCGTGAAGGCAAAGAATTTACAACAAACTTAGTGTAATCAGAGTAGTGGCAGAAAAAGAGAGAGATGCGTGCTTTGCTTTTCAAAAGGTAGTAGCTGTTGTTCACGTTAAGCCTCCTCTGCAGCCTCACTGTTCTGGGGTACACCAGGGAATAGAGTAGTTCCTGGTTTAATTTAGAGGATCCTGGAAGCATAATGGCTCAAATTCTCCATATATGCTACAAATATGCCAGTCCCCAGCTTCACCCCAGGCATGCTTCCCACCTTGTAGTTTGCAATGAGAGAACTGAATCTCTTTTTCTTACACCTTTCCTTAGAGCAATTATTTCTTGACCGGCCCTGCAAGGGGGCTCTGATGCTTTGACACTGGATAAAAGTTACAATGAAACAAACTTGTGAACTATTTATGGTTATTTGTAATCTTTTTTCCCCCATCAATTCAATTTATTCTCAAAGAATAACATCTTTCTGGAAGGATAATTGCAAAATATCTACCAAAACCAAGTCAAAATTGGTAACAACAAATCCAACAACAATGAAGTAATAAACACTTACTAATTAGTTGCCTGAGATTTGTAACTTTTATCATTATTCTGAAACCTGCAGAAAATAATTAAAGCAAAATATAATCTTTCTGACACTGTAAAAACAAAGAAGTATGAGAGACAGAAGGAAGCAGTCTCATGCTATAAGCTAACGTTGTTATTCAGATTACTGTGAAAGAACGAAAAGGAAACATGTAGCCCATCTTGACAGTCTGATGTACGTGTTGTCTGGTTCACACACACAGAGCGGGTAATATGAACGCTGGTCTTTCTGACAAGACTCACTGGAATGTGTTTTAAAGACCGTGGTTTAAAGTGGTGAGTTCTGGCTACATACTTATCAAGCTTGACAGCTATATGATTCTTTTTCATATACAAGAATGGTAAGGAGACACTAATTCTAAGGCAATGCTAATTCTTCAATGCACACGTTTTCTGGTTTGGATAACCTTTGGTAGTCTCAGGGAGGTAGGTGGTATTCTGAAAATGAAGGGGACTTGGTACTGGCAGAGTGAAGTCCTTTATAATGCATTTACTGATGGTATCAGGGAGAAGGGAGTGTGCAGGACTTGGTGCGTTGATGAAAATAAGCCTTCTTAGTTAGTTCAGCTGTAATATATAGTAAAGAATTCCAGTTCTTTAAGCTTTATGCTTTCTTCATTGGTTATGTTTTCTGCACCTCCTGTTTGCTCTTATTTCCTTGACTTGTCTTATAACTAGACATTGGCCTCACCTGTGCCCAGTGCCATAAAAATGAATGATTCCCAAAGCTGTGTATCAGTCCTGTCACTAAATTCCAGCATAATACTCATCTTTCTGAAACAGCGTTGAGTTATGATGTAATCAAGTTGTTAACTATTAACAATTATCTAGTGACCCACTACAACATGGAAGGTCCCCACCTTTCCTGAAGAAGTCTAGTCTGTTATTGTCCAGGGATTTTCAGAAGTTCATGCTAGCACCTGCTCCATGAGAGGCTGACTTCTAACTTCTCCGTTGTGACCCTGCCCTCTGAAGTGCATACAATCTTCCAGCTTTTAAATTTCCTCCCTATTCCACCATCCAAATCAATACTGAAAAAAGCTGAAGATATAACTGAGCAAGTAGTGCAAGACTGCAGAGTTCTGTTGTGAGTACCGTTTGAGCATCCCAGAGAAAACTTTGCTAATGACATGTTCTTACCTCCAGTTATAGTTATAAAATTCAGCACCTGCACTAATATAAAAATTGGTTACTCTGAAACAGCAGTCTCTGATAAATCAGAAGCATTATCTAGAAACAGACTGAGAAAGCCAGGCTTTATTTTTTAACACAAGAAATATCTAAGGATGTTTGGATTCAACATATGTTTAGTGAAATATAAATTTAGCTTTTATATAAAAAGGGACAATATTTGCTCCATATTTTTATGCTTTCAGCTGTATAGGAGAGTAGGTTTCAAGTAGCAGTATACTCATTGCTTGAGTTTTATCAAATTTATTTTTTTCTGAATATTCTGAGCAGTACAAAAGAACAGGCATCTGTTATTAGTGAAGTCCATAAAGAACATCTACAACTGGCAACGATCGTGCTTCCAAAATTAGAGTTCTAGGAAGTAAAAAGTATAATTTATTCTGGAACACGGAGTGCATGAAAGGGGTTGATATATATATATATATATAAAAAATACATATAATATATAACAAACGTTTTCTTTCTGATAACACTTTTTACTTTTATGTAGCACTTTTATCTGTTTATGCACAAGTCTACAAAGTAGGCTTATATTTTGGGTTGTGCATTTTGTTGCACTAAATGATAAAAGCCAACCACTGATGCTTCCTTTTCACTGGCTAAAGCCATTGTTAAAATTAATAAGTATTTTAGTTTTTCCAAAATTTCTGCTGAGCTTCAATTTTGCCATACTCTAATTGTTGAGTGTAATTGAAAGATCAATGAAAGTAGTATAGGAGAGAAACACACTACAATCCACGGCTATAGCAGTACTCTAAGGGAGACAAATAAAACCCAAGAAATTTTGAGACAATTTAGGAATTTCTCCTTATGTCAACCTGCTGGATCCAGTTATGGAAGGATTTTTATAGCAGGCATGGAAGAGTTGGTGTCGTGGGTTTTGTAGTGATTCAGGAGAGCAGCACAGAGGGTCAATTTTAGTTTCAATTAGTTCAGTAAGAAAATTTTTTTTTTCCCCTCAAAACTTTAATTACTAAAAAAATGCATTTTATCTAATTTAGTAGGTTATATACTACAGCATCTTGACTGATCAATGACATATCACAGTATGCTGGCAATGTCCTTTTCACTGAGTCTCACAATAACAACATGTTTTGATTTAAGTCTCAAATACTAGCTTCTTTGGACTAAAAATGAAACTTATTTAAATGATTTCATTGAGCAAAAAGAAAGTAATAAAATCAGTGTTCTCTTTGTAATCCAGGCACTGTCCTTTCTGAGATGACTAGGAATTAACCCAAATGTGGACTGAACAGACTATGAAAGAAAAGATGTGCATGCTACAGAGACTCACAAAGTGCACTCCTTTAAAAGGAAGAATGGCTCGGTATGTAGGGAGAAACTTGTTTATAATCCAAGTTTCCTACAAGACTGAGCAAGCCACCATACTTTCTCAGTTCTTCTATCAGAAAATTGGAAATAAAGCAACTAACTACCTTTCCCTTGTGTGCTTTGTTTTTAGATTAGAATCTAAGTGTGTTAAGAGGGGCACTATTTTCTGCTATATTGCTTTTACAGTACTGGAGTAAGACAAGTCTCTTTAGGGATCTTTAACCATCACAATAAAACATATAGCAAACAACAGTAATATCTTGCTTAACTTGGCCAGTTGTCTTTACGGCTCTGAGGAAAACGCTTGGGATTCCCAAGACCTGATTGATTTGGATGGACTGTTAAATGTAATAAAACTCCTCAGCTATGACTTCAAGATCCATACAGGCCAGACAAGGGCTGGAGCATTAGCAGAGGCACAGCTCTGCTGAGCATGCCTAACTTGCCACGAGGCACAGGAAGGCAACATGCACTGGGGCATGTGCAATGGAAATAACTCCGCCCCCACTCTCCCCCTCCCCAGATCCCATGACTAAGACAATTTTCTGTATCTATCTGATGCTGGAAGGGTATGTTTTGAGAACTCTTCAGTTCTGATCATAAGTTAGCTAGACATAGTGCATGTAGGCATAAAGCCACATGGATGCCAGAGTTCGACAGGCCTTTTACTATTGGTTGACTTTTTCCCACCCCTGCATAATCCTTTGTGGCCTTTTTTTCTTGCTTAATGATGATTCATTTTACATGCTTATGGTACTATTTATATTTCCCCTTCTTGGTTCATTTCACAGCATTCACCTCTAATGAGCCAGTCAATATAGTACACTTTGATTTTCAAAAAGCCTTCAAAAAGCTTCCTCATCAAATGCTTCCAAAGAAACTGCACACATTGGATCAGAGGGAAAGTCCTTTGAGGGATTAGTAACTGGGGAAAGCTGAGGGGAAGGGAGGGAAAACAGTAAGATGGAAAAGTTAATTTTTGCAGGCTGAGTTTTACTAAGAAGATTTAGTGACATAAGTGGCCTACCTCAAGCTGGGTCATGTTCTGTTCAACACAGTTGTAAGGGATTTGGGTTAATAAGAGTGTGAAAAGCTTACAGATATTTCAGTGGACTATGAAGAGTTAAAGAAAGTCTTCATAAAGCAGCCTGACTAGGCAATAAAATGGAAGATGAAATCAGTAAGCATAAAGCAATATCATTACATGTGCATTAGAGATGTATAAAACCAGAAGTGCTTCAGCATTGCATCATGCTGTTGGTCAATCATTTTATGAAAATATTAGGTGCCAGGAGGTTCGGAGGAAGAGTTTCAATTTTTTCTATCACAGACACATTTTGGAAATATTTTTGTCCTTACTGATGACCCTGTAATTGTAATCCTACTGATATAATTGTGGCTGCATTAATGGAAGACTACACAAATTTGTTTTCTTTATTGTTTTTCAAACTTTTGTCACTTTCTGTCTGATGATCAGACTAAGTATTAACCTTTTCTGACTTACCAGAAAGCTTTAAAAAAAAAAAAAAAAATAGCATACAACTTCTTGGTTTCCTGTTAAATTGGAAAGATATTTAGAGGAAAATGTCTCTTAGAGAAATCAGAAATCAGGGGATGCTGTTCCAGTTGGCTGGAACAGCTGGGAAACCAACTCCTTTCTTCAGTTCTTTCTGTAAAAGAAGGCTCCAGAGCCCCTTTAACAGGTGGTGACTTGCTGAGAACAGAGGTAGGTAGCTTTCCAGCGGGTGCAAATAACTAATGGAGGAATAACAATGTCCCCAAATTCACGACTAATTTGATGTCCTTTCTTGCCTTCTTTCTTCTTGCAATGCTTCCAGAACTCCATGCATAGTCAGTAAAGACTTATTTGAAATTGATGTGTGTGTTACACTACTTTAACAACATGCACGTCATCTTTGTGATTAGCTATTTCTGCTAGTCAGCTTTTGCACTGCATCTGAGAAGAGTTCATTAGTGACTCAGAATTACTGCTGCAGAGTCCCACCCTTCTTGTTTGTATATATTGGTAACCCTATTATACAAGCGCTGGTGGTATTAGAGTACAAAAAACCATGCTAATAAAATTCCCCCTAATGGCTATACTTTAATAGTAAATTGCAATGAGTTCCAGTTGGATCAATTTCTTCATACTCATCGTAATTCCTTCTGACCTAACTGATAATTGAATCTCCTTCCCCTCCCCCACTTGCTAATGGACGAACATACAGAGAAGAATGGTTTAGAGTAATGTAGACAAGAAAAACGTTCATTATGCACAATGAAGACTATATCTCTTCTCCACTCAAAGTTAGCCACTGGTTCTCAGGCAGATTGCTTGGGAATAAACCAGAGGTGAGGAAAAAAAAGGGCTCAGAAAAGCTTCAGATAACATATAACCAGTGTAAGTAAAATATTAATGTATTTAAAATTGGGGGGTTAATCTTTCTGAGTGGCAGTGTAGGTTTAAAAGAGAAGAATGATGTGAAGGCGACTGATAATGATTCTTTGAGGTCTGATCTCAGTCCAATACATTTATAAGACTCTTCACAATCGCAGTAATAAAAATGTATAGGATGGAATATATTATAAGGGGTACAGTCTGCAATTCTGAATTTAACCAATGCATCATAGTATTGTTTCAAATTAAATCAGACTTCAAGCTTTTCAATCAGTGTTTTCTTAGGCACTTTTCAGGGTTCATAGTGTTCTAAGGATGAAACTTTAATATATTTTCAAGAATAGCATTTAATGAAATTTCTTTATAATTTATTTTTAAAGAACATACAGTGAAGTCATTTTTATTGTTACCATGTCAAAACTGCTATCAATCATAATGGAAAACCTGTGTATGTATTGATTTTTTGCTGCAGACATTAATGCTATGAGGAATTGTTAAGTGAGGGATGGAGAGGAAAGGAAAAATAACTGGAAGATTTATATATATTGGAGGTGATCTATGTCCATATAGGGCTTACATCTTTGCCAATCAGATCCTCTTGATTTTCCACAATCCCCCAGGGAGCTATACCAATGGTGCAGATCTTCCCTCGAGATTTTGAGGCATGATCTTTCAGTGCATCTCCAACATGTCGAATGACTCCTGGGAAAGAAACAGCATAAAATAGAAATTCATAATTATGTCCTTTTTGTTTATTGTGGTATGGATTTAGTATAGAATTCTTCTTTAGGGAACACCTATGCATATACTTACAATTAAGTAAAGCTATGAATATATTCCTATTGATTATTATTACAATAATGCTGTAAGTCCATTTTATCTAATCTAAAAATATTAAATTAAGTAGCAAGAAAAAGATTACACAGCTTTAGAAATAAGAATGGAAATACTGGCAGCTGACTGTAACTTGTTTATCTGCACTTGTGTTCACAAACACACTTGCATACGTGTGTGCAAGCATTTGTATCCTTCCCAAGCATAGAAAGAAGCACAGGAATTGGAAGAAAAACCCCAAACCTCCCCAAAAGTGTAGCTTGCACACAAATGTTCACTTCTGTCTGATTAAAGGATGGAAATGTGAAAACATCATTACACTACTCTGTGGTGAGCTATTCTACCATTCTTTCCAAACAAACTCAGTCATCTGAGATAGCTTCCAGCAGAGTATTAGAAAACCCCCCAGGCATCAGTGAGAAAACAGAAATTAGTACAGAGAGAATGACTGCTCCCCAGCTCTCTTCCAAGTGCTTTCTGATAATGCTCCTTGTATGCTTTAGGCCAGCTTTGTCAGTATTTCAGTGGTATCTCTGTGAGGAAGACAAGTGCCATTGCTCCTTCGTTTTCATAAAACAATTTTTTTACCTGTGTATCAATAACTATTTTTGTGATGTGGCTGCACTGAAGCAGACCTGTGGATTTGCTGCGGATGTTATCTGTTACTCAGTTTCTGTGTTTGCTTCTTGTTCAGATTCCACAGTTTCAAGATGGCTGGATTGGAATTACAACAGTCACACAATAGATGTGATTTTAGCTGTAGTTTTTCTGCACCGTAAATGAACCATGTAATAAAAAATCCCACAACCTAACAAATCCTCTAAGTCCTGGAGTCTAATTTCCTTCCTGTGGTGGAAAAGGGGAAAAAAACCTCTGTACCTGCAATCAGCTATGAATTAAGCTATGATCCAGCAACCCAAAGGATTCAAAGCAGAAAATCTATGCGGACTGCAAAAACTTCTGCTATTTAGAATAAACAACTTTTGGCATGACATGAATATTCAGAACAACTTGTTTAAGTCATTTAACAGTCATGGTTATAGCCAGGTATAGCACCATCCCTGTCACATCACTGATTCTCAGTCCAAGAGCAGTATTTCAGGATTTTTCAATTTTATTTTTCCTTAAGAGAAATCTGATTTAAAAATTCATCATCAATAGATCAGACTGTACTCAGAAATTCTCAATTTGTACAGTTTCACATAGAGATAAAACATGTAATTTTCACCAACACAGTTTGCAAACCTAGCCCCAGAGCAATCAGCTGCTTTGCTCCAGAAATCAAAAACAGCAATAAGAGGTAACTGATAATGCAGAACTGCTTCTGGAATTATATGTTTTTAAAATAACACAGGGCAACTTCAACTTCATTTTTTTGTCTAGGTAATTTTTGATTAAATGAAAAAAACATCTTTTTTAACAGTGATTATGTTGACTTTTTTGGTTCATTTGTATTGTTTTTGCATTTGCAACTATGATGATTTGAAAAATGGTATGAAGCAGTTGTGCATTTGCCAAATGCAAATGTTGTAGTCAGTCCTTGTTTACAAAATTTCTGCAGTTTGATTTCTACAGTTCTTGTGGTAATTCACTGCAATGAGTGTACAATATCTACAGTTTTCTGATGTGCTTTTAACTTAAAATTTATGTCTGTCTTTGCCATCGTCACTACAAGAGTATCTGGCAAATAACACAACTATTATCACCACAGTACACAGGTCAACAGATAACTTGATTTTCTTCCTTGTTATGCAGAGATGTGGGGAATATTACATACATGTGAGTCTGTCTATTTACCTATCTAATACTCCAGAAGCTATGCCTCTTCTTTGTTATTTGTATTGCTGCTGTGATAAAACTGAATATTGTTTTAAATTTGATATGCTCTGGAAACTAAAATGCCCAAGAATCCTATTAAGCGTTCATATTCAAATATGTAGGAGTTGATCCACAATGCACTAAAATTAATACATGATAGAGTGATTACAATGTTCTCCATAGACAGTAAGAAGATACACTCCGTGGGATTAGTAAAGTAATAAATTATAGCTTTGTTACTGCAGCAAATGAGAATGACATAAGAATTTACAAGTACATGTCCTAGCTCAAAACTTTTTGCATTTATCTCTAGGAGAACACTTTGACTTTTCCCTGACTCTCTCCTCCTTTCTGCCTCCTTCAGGGAGGGTAACTGGGAAGCCACTGCCCAATCTTTTTTATCTGTGGAACTATGTTTTGCAGTTTATTCCCAAAACCTACATGCTGTCTCCCAGCAGAGCTGGGCCAGCTGCTATCTTGGGTCATTAGGACATCCATATGGTATGTTACAGATGTTCTTAACTTTGAATAGAAACGACAATGTTCCTGCTCTTGCTGCAGGGGTAATAGAAAAAAATTAGGTCAAGCTGTCTACAAGAAAGGAAAAAGTGATACTTATTCACAATAAAGTTTTCCACCACATCCACAAAACAGAACCTTTTTTCCTTTCATATTTCAGATCATCTTATAAGATAAAATAAAGGTCTTTTCTCCATGAAAATATTTTCCATTTTAGGTAATAAGAGTTTGACTTCTTTGGTTTCTGGTTAGTAGTCCCTCCCTGCAGCTTACTGTTGATCTTATAAAGTCTTCACTGGCAATATACTAATATAATTCCCTCACAGGAAGCTTTATTTTCAGCTCCCCGGTGTGCTTTTCATGCTTTAGCAAACCTTTTATTCCCTGGTAGCTGCCAGGCTGGTATGAACTTGGCATTTTCTTGTTTGCACATACTACAGCCAACACTAATAAAATAAAACATGGAATGGCTTCTTAATCTCATCAGTCCTAATTTTTTACTGTGATGAAATCTCCTAGATGCCACTGTGCTTTCATTTCAATGTTGCTGTTACCTGTGTTTACTCCTCCAGTGAATATCCACGCTCCAGTTGTCATAGCAGCCTTAATGAGGCCTTTTCCAAAGACTTGCTTGAGTTTTGGCTGAAGTTCAAAGTTCTGAAGGCCCCCGTGCACAGAGATGAGAAGTTTAGGGAGCTCAAGCTGCCACTCTTTGGTCATCAGATGCAGAAGAAGGTCAGGCTTTGTGTCAAAAGAAACACGTACATACTGCAGAAATAAGGGCAGTAGTAGAGAAAAAAAGATTGGTTATACTCTCTGGTTCCTAATATATATGATCTATGCCCAATAGATCACTGAAAAAAGGCAACCTTTATGACAAAAGCATTAACTAATTGTTAACCTGATGAATTTTTCAAAAGTTAGGAAACTAGGAATGATGGAACACTTGCAATTCACAGGCTGGACAATTTTCCTTTATTTAGGAAATTAAGTCATTAATTGTTTCAATATGCTTAGCAATCCTTGAAAGATAAATGTCTTTAATTTATGGATGCAAAAACTGGAGCAAAAATTTAAGTGGTCTGCCAAAGATGACCTAGGTAGTCAGAGTCACAACTGTGTGTTCACTAGTATCTTATTTTCAAATTAACAAAATCAAATTCTCAGAAGGTAAGAAATAACAGAAACCAGCTTGGTTGTTCAAGCACACATAAGTTTAAACTGAGCAAGACTACTAAATAGGTACTTTTCAGATGAACAAATGCTAACATGACTTACAGACTGATTTGTATAGATTCTTGAATTTGCCTAACAAGGCACAGAACCCTAAAAGTGCTCTGAAACACATTTACACATTCCCAGTTCTTGGCTTTTATGTGCTACATCTGCAGCATTTTGCCTCAAGGGGGATCATGCCCATCTGTGTGTGCCCAAAGATAACAACTGTCTTCCAAATTTCTACAGCACTGCCGTGTCACACACATACCTGTGTCTTCCTGACAAGCCTTTCTCTCTGGGCTCTTTCTCCTGCTCTTTCTGTTGCTGATGTATGAAGGGTTTCACAAGGCCCATGACAGGGCAGATGATACTTTTTTGAATTCTAGCTGCATAGCAGAAACAGGCCGTAAGAGGATAAAATTCTTTCTATAGCTGGTAAGATCTGGAAGGACCCTTTTAGTTGAATAAAATAGGTTATAGAAAGCCACTCATCTATCAAACTTCTGATTGAACGAATGTATATAGGGTTACTTCAGTAGTCTTTCCCTTGACGGGTTGTCAGCACAGCCATCTGGTGTATGACCCAGGCACCTTTGCTTTCAGCCAGAGGAATGCCTAGTTCTAACTTATTTATTGTAACATGCCAGGCAGTATAATATCCACATATATTATGTAATCATTTTGTCCCTTTTTAACATGTCTAATCAGTATTTCTTGCCAAAAGATTGTTCTTTTTTAGTAAATTGTATGACAGCAAAGTGGACTCCTTTCTAGTTGAATAAGAAATAAGGGCTTGACTTTTTTCCAGCAGCAATTGTTAATAGACAGGTTTCTTTGCAAGAATGGGTTATTGCACAGCGAACAGCCATTCTTAATGTTTCTGGAAGCAGAAGCCCATTTGGGCAAGTAGTCAGAGGGAAGCAAGGGCGGCACAGTCAAACTGAAAGCTGAGCAAGAACTTGGGAATGCACATTCACCCCAGTGCATCAGTAATGTTCTCTGCAGCAGCCAGGCAAATTCATAACAGCTAATGGACAAAGAACATACAATATTCATGTCTGGCAAGAGCATAATGTACCCTCGAGTTTACATATAAATGAACCGCATCCTCAGTAGCTACCCATTCAATTTTCTGCATGGGAGTTGAGAAAATCTTGCATGGCACCTGATCCCATTGACCAGATGGTGAAGCTAACAATTTTGATTAGGATTCGAGGGCTGTCAAAGTTTTAACACACCAGAGGGGTTGTAAGGAGACTGATCCTTATTCCCTTTGCTCTGCCCTTAGGGAGAGCTGAGGTTGCAAAGGGCAACACCTTGTTAACATTGCAGGCATTAATAAATAGACAACATCCTTCAGGGGGCCTACATGAATCCTCTGCTGGTCAAACTATGGAGATTATGTTTTGAGATCACCGGTACCTTACTCTGTTTTCTGGTGAAGACAGACTGGGAGTTTTAAGAAGATAATTAAAGTGAATTCATATTAGTAATGGCCATACAAATTTGCTGAAAACAGAGGCCACTGCATCATCTGGGATGATATTAAAATGAAGGCATAAATGGCATCAGATGTGTATTATCTAATCCAGTCAGTGACTGTTTTTTTCATTCTTTAGCATTGTTTTATACCCCAGAATGTGTGACTTCACTGCCCCTACCTTCTTAAGCCTGTGTATTAATTGGCAAAAATCTCTTAATTGGCAAAAATCTTTTTAATTTTCTTATCCACTAAGACCTCTGAATTCCAATAAATATAAATCTATATAGTCAATCATAAAGTTAGAAGAAATATTTTCTTACATTTGTTTGAAATGTAGACACCTTTTATTACAAACAAATGCTTGTTCTTTATACTGCAGGCAAAACCCCTCTATACTTATGATAAGAATTCATTTTACTTTATAAAGAGGAAATTTAAGCAAAAATAAATCTGAGAGTTTTTTTCATGTAAATTAAAATTTAAATCATCATGGATAAGCTTCACTGTTTTTTGAGAAGGGCAATGGTGCCAAACATCATGATTTTTCTTCTGTGCATAGACCTCAATTTTTGTGACTGTCTGATTCATTTTTGCTCTTACAGAAGCCATTCTCAGTTTGGTATGCTTGGGATTACTCTTTTGCCATTACTTAACATATTAACTAGTAAGTACAAGAGAATTCTTTTGTCATCACTTTCAAAGTATGCATTAAATTATGAATAAACACTTTTAAGGCCATTTTTGTCCATATTAAAAATTCATTTCTTTCAATCTCGTGGCAGAATATTTGGCCTTTTCAGTTTTTGTTTAGAATCTTAATGAGTATTTCTGCCATTCCTGAATTCTTTTGCTATAGCCTCCGAAGACAGATTTAAAATTTAAATGTAAATCTAAGCTAAACCACTGCTCTGTTACCCTGAAATTCCATGTCTGGTGTATCTGTCAGCTGTAGAAATGATCAGTTATAATGGCAAATGATTTAATCCCTTCTTTATGGGAGTGGCGTATGGATAGGACGCAAGACTTCAGTTGTTATGTGTCAGCGGAGCAGGGCAAGATAGGAAGCAAAAGTACAGTTTTGAACCACAAAACCTGCAGACTGACCTGACTGACATCAGCATAACACTGTGAAATGATAAATCATCAAGTTCAAGCTATCATGCCCATTTGACCCCTAAAGTAGCACAGAAGTAGTCAGCAAGGGTGCCATTTGATGCCAATAGTTGTTTCACTTGTTTATCAAGTGGTTTCCTAAAAAATAACTGTGCTCATCATCAGTCAAACAGCCAGATGCTTGCAAGTTGGACTCCAATGCCCTAGAGCAAAAGTCAAAGTTCCCCAGTGGTAAAATTACTACTCTGTTACTCAAGCACAGCTGTCTCATTAGAGTACATGGTGAATGATTGCAGATGAAAGTCTTAGTGAATAAAATAGATTCAGAATTTTGTTGTATTTCTTCAAAGAAAATTTCTTCAGAGAACATTTTGTGATCTGCAGTCTAACGTTGCTCCTTTGTTTCTCTTTGATACATGCAGGTACTGGGTGGCTATTTCACCTATCTTGAATAAGATTCCATCACTGCAGACACTTCTTCAGGCTAAAGACTGATTCCCTCAAATTGTGATCGTCACATGAAAAATAGGCCTGATGTAATTCTCACTGAATTCAACAGAAAAACTGTCACTTAGACTGAAACCGGACTGGTTCCTTATAAGTGAGTATTCTTCTTAACTTTTTAAGGCCTCACCCAGGTTGCACTAAATAGTCACTGGAAGGACCCTCATTGATTTAAATGGGCTTTTCTGTGTTATTTCCCCCTTTTCTCCATGTAGGACACCATCTTTTAAATTCTGTAAATGTTCTTTAAGTGTTGAGTTACTATAATCAAAAATCAATAATAACAACAACAACAACAACAACAAACAACAACAACAATATAATAACTGCTTTTTTCATGGTTTATGCAAGTTACAGGAATATCTCTTTTTTTTCTCTCAAAAGCACTGATGACTTTTAAGATCCTTTTTACACAGTTTTCATAAAACTCAATGTATTTCAAAAGCAGAAATATAACTTTTTATGTGGCTGATTTCCAAATATCCTTAATAAACTAAAATGTTTTGAGGATCTGAATATTAGGAAGTCTGTCTAAGACACTGTTTATGTACATTGGAATTCTACTGATGTTCTTTCATGTTTCCATGCACCATAAGAAAGGTTAAGCTTATACCACTGAAGTAAACTTTATTTCTTCTACAGCTGCAAACATATGTTAACTTTTTATTGTGCATGTTAAATGTATCATTGGAATGCATTCAATTAGGAGAAATGTATTTAACTCACTAAAGCTTTTCAAACAGCCGTCTTCCACCTAACCTTGAAGAACCATGATCAAAGAAATTTCAGTTCTGTAAAGAGTGGCCCTTTAAAAAAGGTTGATATGGAATCCAGGCACACCAATTAATGAAAGAATGTTAAAGGTTTTTTTGTGTGTGGAAAGGCAGATAGTAAATTAAAAAAAATTGGTTTAGTTTGGTCACAAGTTCAGTGCAAAATGCACCACAGCAAGATTGTCTTAACTGGTCCACTAATGACCAGAATCTATTTTGAAATTGTTCAGAATGTTGCTCATAATTGGAATGGAATCACTCACATTAGTCTGATAATTGGTTTCAGAGTTAGGGTAATAAATTGCCAGTATATAGTTAGATGAACTCATCCATGTTATTTCTTGAACTACTGAGAGCGAACTGATATAAGGAGATCACATTTTATTAGTTTTCCTACCTTGTTTTAATTGACTGATTTATTGCAAAAGCTCTTAATAAAGTTTGCATATCTTCACATGCCTCTCAGATATTTTTACAGTTGTCAAAATTGAAAATCTGCCGTAAAAACAATATAAATGTGAACAGCAAAACTGTTAAATGTGTTTCTTAAACATTAATGGGATGAGCCACTTGTAAAGAAAACATGAGATTGATCGAGATCTAAAACCCACAGTGTTGTTGCCGGATCATCTGTGGTTACATGAAGACTATAAGAAAGGCCTCTTTAGTAACTGATCTCATTAACCAGTGTTCTCTAACCTCAGCTATATGTTTCTATATAATCTGCTGCACCCTCAGCTATTCACATTATTGATTTAAGTAGCTTAGTGCAACCCCACTGAAGATACTTTAACAACTCAATGGTATTAGCAAAATTCATGCTGTTTGAGAATTTTTGTTCTAAGTGGGTATGGAAATGGAATTATTGGCACAGTCAGTTCTATTGGCAATATGTAAACCTACATCGCCTTTTCTGTTTTGTTCCAAATCCATGTGTTTTATTATAATTTCAGTGTAATTTTCATTTTCACAGCTAAAGATGCCATTGTTAATTGTCTCATGGCAACTGATATTATATCACTGCATTTGTAGCTTGCAAATATACATGCAAAGTATAGATATATTTACTATCAAAATTATATATATTATTAAAATCTAATTCTGTTACTTCCAACAGAGGAAATAATTATCTGTCAGTCTTACATGCACTAATCTGTTCCATTAACTACCAGTTTCCTAATTATAGATCTGAGGTTATGGTTTCCATTAATAATTTCCATCTCATTCCTTGTAGCCTGATTCAGAAAAATTTGCCAATTTTGCTGTTAGCACAGACCAAGATAATACTACTCAGTTCTGTGTTTCCCTTGCTTAATAATTTTCATGTGTGGGCATCCCTTTCAGGAAATAAAGTAAGAAACAGGTGGTGAATTTTATGCCAAATTCCTCACCTGAGGCTTTCCTTGATGTTGGTCAGCTTGCTAAATCTTGCTGCTTTATAGGGTTATTTTATTAACCAATAGGCACAATATTAAGCTACCTTGTATGCTATAGTGATATTTGATATCCAGTAGCTAGAAAATAACTAAGTAGTATATTTTTAGAGAAGAACAAATGTCCGTTTACCATGTTTTCTCCCTTTTCTCTTTCTCCCCCTGCCCCTGTTGATGTTCCAGCTTCTCTGCTTTCGGGTTTGAAAATATATTGTCTGAACAAGAATGTTTCCAAGGATTATTATGTACTTGTTCCTTTTTCCAAGCCTTATTTTTCAAGATAATTTAAATGCTTTTTTTCCCCCTCCTCTGCCGGCAAAATTGGTTGGTTGCTTTGACTGAGCAAACTCTTGGCTTTCACAGAAAGCTTTTGATTTGGTAAGTTTTATTTATTATGGGAAAGACCTTGTACCCAGTAAACTCAGAGACAGGAGTTTCATTCTTTCTATTAATAAAACTACAACAATTAGTTAGGCAGCTCTTTGACTATAATCTACCCTAAAACAATGTTTGGGGCTGGAAATATGATCATAAAGACACCTTCATACTGTTTTCAGGGACAAACACCATAGTGTAACAAAGTTCTTTGTTTTGTTTTCATTTAAATAAATGCACAATTACTGGTTATGCAAACCTCCTTGTTTGTGTTTTGGTCATATGAAAGATGTTTTTCTCATTGGTGGTAACCAAGCAGGACACCCATTAAAGAGATATTTAATGAATTGTTTTATTTGAAGCACTTTTCCCAGTAGTGGGATGATTGAATTTCTGGAGCTTCTATAGACTTATTTAATTCATTAAGAATTTGGTTGTTCCCATATTTCGGGAGGGGTTTAATGACTATGAATAGATGGCAGATGCCACTATCTTCCTGATGCTAGTACTGTCAAAATAAATCCAGAGTTTTTTCCACCAATAAATGTTTTGTCTGTATTCATCCCTAAGTTTTAACTTGTTATTTAGATCTCTCAGATTTTTAACCCCTTTTTGTCTTCTTTTTTTTCCGAATTCTTCATAGTTTCATTCCTGACTGTGCTCTGTGACAAGATTTTTCTTTCCTTCTTGTTGACTTCCAATTTTATGTCCACAGTTTCACTTCAAGTATATTTCTTTGAGCACACAGCATATACCTTGGAGCACCTCCTGTTCTCTTGTGGCACTGTGCCAGGACACCAGAATCCCAACAAAGACCAGAAATCCTCTAGAGAAATTGCTATCAACAGCTTCCCTACACCCTTCGTCATTTCTTGGCTGCCCAAGACTACTTTTGTCTGGGCAGGGCAGTTTATTGCTTTATAGTGATCTTCAAAGACATCACTCAAAAAGCTCTAGTGATTACCCTTTCTCATAAAGACAGATTTAATGCAAAGTATCCATATATGGTTAATAGCATGGTGGTTACTATATCTCTGAGTCTTTTTCAGTTTTTGTGAAAAGCATTCTGTTCTGTTCCCACTCCTTGTGAAGGTACTAACAGCATGGTTTGGTTCATTTCAGTGCTGAGGGAGGTGTCAATTCATTCACACTAAACAACTGTTATTTACTGATTCAGAGTCTCTCTCTAGCAATGGCCTTGCAGATTTTTAGGAGATTAGTTATCAACTGAACATAAGGTGTCTGTGATACTCTCAGAGAAATGGCCTAATTTTCTACCTGTTTCTTGGTGCAATAGTGTTTTCTGGTTTCTATCAAAAGAAGCCATCCATCTGGGTAAACAGAACCATCCACTCAAGTAATCGTTCCATCTCTAGCACCTATGTATCCATCTGAGGAAAATATCTGGCTCTTGCTAGCACAGTACTTGAGCTCTTCATTGTCTCTAATCCATCTAGTACCATGACAGATCTGAGAGACCTGTTGGGAAGAATTCAGGCAAAGAAGATGGTACTGGGTTGCTGGGCAGGTTATTCTGCAGCGCGCCCAGGGGTTCTGCTTCTGCCCTCACTGCTGCCCGAAGCAGTGTCTTGGCCATGATGTGCTAGGTACACACTCATCTTTCATTCCCAAATTCCCAGGTTCTGCAGTTTAGATAGAGCCAGAGAGATTCTTCCTTTCATGTAATGCCACATAGAAGAAATACACGCATGGGTTAGCATGGGTGCTGGAAAAATCTGCAACTTAGCGGAGCAATGGCTTCAGATAAATATACTTTGGTATTGCTCCATAGCATTGTATTATGATTAAGTGACTTGCACAAGGAAATCTGTGGCAGAATAGGGATTTCCCAATTCCTAGCTTAGACATTTACTGGGCCTCTTATTTCATTGAAAGATCAACAAGTAAGTCTAACTGGTCTATCCTCCGATATATGTCTGGAGGAATATTAAAAAAAATTTTGTATATTTCAAATTTGTCAGCCTTGCAGACACACCCAGAAATGGGAAACCATGGTTGCATTTTAAAGTTATTCAGAAAAAGAGGGATGGCTAGCCATTGGAAGAAAATCGAGATAGCAGCACATTAGCATGTCTTCAGTCTTCATAAAGGTAGCCCCTCTTATGCTGCACCCCAGCTTTTACAGTTAACTCTGTTCACCAATTCTTTGGCACATGATACATAAAAACACATGGTACGGTCTTACACTAAATAATACTTTAAAATGAAGTTAAGAAAGAATGCTGTTTATTCTTTGTGAATGCCTTTTTTGAGCTAGCAGCATTATCTATCTAAGAGAAAAACATGGTTACCATGGCTTTATTGGAGTGGCCTCCTCCTTGGAACTCAATGGTTCCAAAAGCGTCCGTCGGGCTGAGCTGCGTGTGCTTGCTGATGGACCACTTCTCCGACTGGATGTCATTGCGAGTAAGCCTGCTTTCATTTTTCTCATTCTGAATAACGGAGATGCTTGGAGTCAGTCCAACATGTTGACCTATTAGACGCCCACAGCAACACCTATGACATTAAACAAACAGAAAACTTGAGTCACGTGCATGTATAAACCGAACAGGGAAACAAATCTTAAATGGCCTACAAATCTTAAAAAAAACCAACCCTTTTCAACTCTGCTGATCACTTTCCTGCTATCTGAAGCCTCTACTTGTGGAAGCAACATAGTACAGTACCTTTCCTTTCTATGTTCTTGGTTACTTTGGACTTTCCTATATTTCAATAAAATCATGCTTTGTTCTAAATATGTACAAAATGAAGTTAAAGAACATTTTCTACTGTCTTCAGATGACATCAGGCCAAATAATCAGCTTTTTCATGGACTAACACATATTTTAAATTGGTAGTTCACTGCAATTATTTTCTTTTGAGAGTTTTGTGTGTCATGCATCCAATTTAGGTAAATACTCAGGGCAGTGAATATTGAACTAAGAACATACGGAAATTAAACATAGATGCTGATCCACCTTTGATTTATCTTTTTTTTTTGGATGAAATAATTTTTGAAATGTAAACAAATAGTGCTTATAGGAATCCATCACTCCAGATGTAGTTCAACCACCTTCTGACTTATTTATTCTTTACAAACTATTTATATCCATATACATATGTATGCACACATATATATAGACATTTTCTTGTAATTGACTTTCATTTTTCATACAAGTAACATGCAATTACCTATGGGGGTCTTTGGTGCTGGGTATGATATGAACACATTCTCTCTTGTAAAACGCTCTTTCTATCCATGATTTCTGTGCCTAAAAAAAGAGAAAGGAAATGCCATGAGCTCTGTTTGCTTATTAAACACAACCCATAGTACAACTGAAGAGAAACTTCAAACATAAAAGAAAACTTCACTGACTTTGCAGATGTGCAGTGCACATTTTGCACAAAGCAAATATTTTCCATTAGAACTATGGTTCCCTTCTAGAGCTAAGCACCCAACAAAAGCTCTTAAGATTGTTTTTATATTCACTAGCCAGATGACTTTGATGCTGTCATCTATATTCTCATAGCAGGAATCACTGGAGAAGAATTAACTCAAACTGTAAAGCTTTCTACATGGTAGAAAAAAACCACACCTATTTGTTAAAAATACTTTAAAAAAATCTATTTCCATTTTAGTGATACAACTAAGTCAGCTCTAATTAAAAAAAACAATCTCAGAAACTAGAAAATAAATATCTCACAATAAAACTTATAACACCATGATTCCAATGCAATTTCTTATACAAGTACTGAGAGTGCTGTTTAACATGGAGCCAGAAAATATAGTTTCATATGTGGACATCTTAATGAAAAAAAAGAAAAAAAAATACAAAAAGGAAGATCTGTTTCTGAAACGAGACACAAAAAACTTTGATACATTAAGAGTCAGATGACCAGCTGGTGTGACCTCTAAAACTGACTGAGTTCAATGATTCTATGCCTCTTCATAACGCTCAAGATCTTCCCCCATATATTCGTAGGAAAGCAAGTAATTTCCCTCAGTGTAGTCTTAATTTTCAGATACACAAGAGATCTTTTTAAAAAGAAAGATAGATGGGTAGGAAAGAAAAAAACCAAAAACAACAAACGACTTTTAGATTTCTAAAATCTTTTTAATTATCTAGACAGTTCTCATTCCATACAATAAGAATTCTGGCAAGCTCTCTAAAAGATTCCCCCAGATAGAATTCAATTATTTCATTTAATAAGGAGATGAGTTGAAACTTTTCTTTAAAAATTCTTTTCAAACAGATAAATTTTATAAAATGTATTTAAATAATAAAATTACCTATTTAATTGCACAGCATAAACAGAACTATAAACTATGAACTATGATAAAGTTATCTGAGAGTTAAGTAATGTGAAATGAGCTTTAGATAATTTAAAGGAAATCTGAGCATCTTGCCTCTATAAAAAGAGAAAATATGAAATTGCCTTTATAACATTACCTAACTAACTAATGTTACCTTTTACTATGTAAGGTTAGAAAATAACCTAAGTATTAACTTTAATGTTAATTAGTAAAGTACATTAACTTTTAATGTTACCTTACTAACTCTCTAATGTTACCTTTTCGTCAACTCAGTCTGCATCCTGTTTTTCATGTTTAAACCCAGAAACCTGTGTTTCTGGGACTTTTGAAAATCATTGTGAACTGTGGAAATTTCTTGAAGTCAAAGAATGTCACTAGTATAAACTATAAAGTACAATAATAAGAATTTCTGGCTACGTCCATTACTTATCACTCTCAGTACAAAAAAAGTTATTCTTTTGCCTTTTTCACAGAAGATAATCACTTATTGGATCTAGTGGTCACTCATGTTATGTAACAAAATTTTATCTTTGCTTTACTTGCATTTTTATTTGAAAAATCTGCTAGACTTCACATTTTGTAGGAATGGTAGACACCCTAACATGACTTTTACAGTCAGGAAAAAGAAAAGTCTATTAAATTCTTAAATAGAACTGTATTTGATTGTTCTTCTTTACAGTAGCAAACAGAAAGTTAATATATTATAGAATGTGGGGCAAGGTTTGTTTCACGTTTAAGCAAAGGACAGTTAAATAGAAATTCTGAAAAATCTAAAAGAGTTTTACTTTACGTAGGAGAGATTGCTTTGATGTTCTAATCTATTATAACTTCTATAATAATAATAATAATAATCCTCATCATCATCACAACATTGTATATTATATAGTCCAATCAGCTTAGAAGTCTAGTGCATCATTGTGTAATTTCTCAATTTAGTAGTCTTTTCAAGCAAAGAAAGACTTTTTATAAAGTAACTTTCTAGAACTGTCAAGGTATCCAGAGTGAACTTTATGAACTTAATTTGACCCTCTTACTGCAGAACTTTTGAAGCTAAACTATGTGGGAAAATTAGCGTTTTTCTTTTTGTTGACTGTTGTCGAGAGCAAAAGGAAGTTACAATTATTACTCAGGTATTGCAATGCTAACATTTGAAATTACATATTTTACTGTATGGACCACACATTCTTGAAATTTCTCCTGTTCAAGCTCCAAGAGCACACAAGCTTTCTATATGGCCTTAAGAAGACAACACTGGTAAGAAGCTGCAGATTTATGAATCCCCTTTGCTGTATATATATATACAGTAACTTTTTGACAAAAAAGGAACAGTTATAGAATAATGCCAGTTTTATCTTCATGCTTGTTTGTTTTAACACTAAATACATGCCTGAAATATCCTTTATCTCCTCCAGAAAGCACAAAAAAACTTTTATAAGACAACTTTTCTTCCTGGCATCCAAATTCAGCTCCTACTGCAGAGCTTACATAGTATATGATTATCATTCATGTTGCCAAGACTCCCTAAAAATATCTTTTATTAAATTTCATAAATTTTGCATACTTTTCTGCAAACAATTTACCTTGGTTAATTTATTTACTACGTAGACGTAATGTATCTTTTCTAAAGATGGCCACTAATTCAATTTCTCTAAGCCTCAAGATCCAATACAAAAAGGTGCCATAGCAGGTGCTTCACAGAAAAACTTTTGTCTTTAGGCATACAAGCAGGCTTTCAAAGACTAAGCAACTGACATTTAAAATTTGTTTTCCTACTCTTTTTCATACTGTCTTTGCAAGTAGAAAAGAAATCCAGCTATGTTAAATATAACAATTTGCATTTGAATTTTCATCATACTTCTTCAAATATAATATTGCAAAAATAATAGTCTGATTTAAGAAGCCCTTTATTCACATCAGGAAAAAAGACTTTGCAGCTGTTAGATCTCAAACAATATACTATCCTACCCGACAGTCATAATGCCAAAATACACAATATACTTATTTCATAATTCCTTGTCCTTCCAAACAAAAAAGAAAGCATCTAGTTTCACTGTCCCATGCCAGATATCTTTCTGTGACAGAGATCATTTGCAATGAAATACAAGGTTCAGAGGTATAATAAATCATATTATTTGCCGTAGAGTCTTCATAACAAAATTAGAATAACTTGAGGAAATCAACACATTCATAACAAAACAGTCTGCATTAAATTCTTGCTTATAATGTGAATTAATAAAGTAGTAAAAAGTTTAGAAAAGTATAGCAAAGTATTTTCAAGAATAGTAGAGCAAGAAGCTTATCTTCTCTTTCTGTGTTTCATAAACACTCCTTCAGTGTTAATTAATAATTTAAAGTCCACAGTGAATTCCTAAAGTACATGCCATACTTATACTTGGATTTAGTTTACTCATAGCTTAGATCTCTAGGTTAAGACTCTCTCTTTATTAACCTAGCTGCAAAATCCCACCAAGAACATTTTTTCTCCCTCTTCTTTACCTGAGCATCAAACTTGGCATTTAAGTCTGTCCTGGAACAAACTCTGCTGTCCACGTTTCCCTGCTGCCGGTCATCGCTAATAACGCATTTGCGACCGCCCCCTGAACAAGGCGTTCAGTCCATCCGCAGTGCAGAGATGTGGGAGTGAGCGAAGCCCTTGCACCCATTAGCTGCTTGGAATGTGCTGCTGTGGGATTAGCCTCATTAAGGGTTTGGTCAACACTCACCCGCAGCCCCACAACACCGCTTGGTTTGAACATCTAATCTGACGCCAAAAGAAAAACAAATCCCCTGAGAGCTTGGATTTAACTGGCACAGGCCTTGACGGGCTTTTTTCTCTCCTCTTCTTTCCCCCTTAAAGAGCGAGCTTGTGAAAGTGTGATAAGGTGCTCTGAGTTCTTAAGTTCAACCCAGGAAAACAAATCCTTCAAAAGAAACAGTGTACTAAGTTGGAAAGAACCTGAGCACACGAGAGAGATTGTTAATCTCCAAAGAATGAAACCAGTGTGTTTATTGGGTAACTGTGAGAAATCTATACACAGTTGAAATATACTGCAATTAATCAACAATGGCATTTTTCCAAAGAAGCTGGGGTTTGTCACTGTTTCTCACCACAGTTGCTGTACTGTAGTGAATGTAACTTTTCAGAAAGTCATAAACATAAGCCTTTGTCTTTCAGAGACAAGCAACTGCATTGTTTTCAGTTTAATTAAAAGTTAGTAACTTAAAACACAACTTGAATGTTTACAAATTTGAGGACAACTTCTTTACTGTACCCTCTTGATATCAACACTGAAGAACAACCTTTTCATATGAACAACCCAGATTTTTTTAGTACATAGCAATTATATGTGTTCAATTACTTATTTCAAGAGTTTTCCAAATACAAAATACTCCTACTCTTCCCCCTCCCCCAAGTTTGGATGAATTCCTCTCTACTCCTACATATCCATACATACCCTCCTTTCCTTTTCAATAAGGCTGCATCTAATGCATGGAAAACATTCTGTCCACCCTTGACACTGATGAATACACTAAACTATTCTGCATGTACATTAGCTCTGGTGGGCCCACGATGGGCAATGCTGAGCGTATGCATCAACTTCTTATACCATCACACAGGTTGAGAAGTTTCTGCTGGGCTGTCTAATCCATGAGGTTTTTTTATCTCTTGGTTCCCTGAGTTTTTTGTGTAAAATACATACATGTATTTTGTATGCAATGTATATATGAAGTGTGTACATATACACACTCTGTATGCATGTATATACACACTCTGTTCCAGCAAAGCTACAACCTGTGAGATTTCTCTACCACACAGTACAGAGCAAGAGAGGCCACATGCACATCTTGTGAGATCTCTTTAGCACAGGATCAGACCAAAGATGGTCTGTGCAGAACAGCAAAGGTAGAGAAAGTTGCAGTGTCAAAAGAGCAGCTAGTAAACAGCTCAATGAGGTG